AGAAAGGACTTGTACATGGAGAAGCATGAGGAGAATATACAGATTCCAAAAGAGAGAGAGCTGAGGATCTTGTTGAATCAGCAAAGTAGCATAAAAGAGGCAGTAAAATCCGCCTAAATCAAATCTGTTGATCGATCTTCCACTATTCGAATTTTCAAACGCGTTATTACTTAAGCCCATAGATCCAACTCTACATTCATATAGCCCAATATCAACATAGAGAGTGTTGGAGAAATAAAGAAAAAACATCTTTGCTAATTGCTACCAATGTAAACGTATTATTGTCTCGAAGATAGTCCTTATCTCAAAGGTTAAAAACAGTGTGGTAGTTTGATCAAAAAGCCTCGACGGCCTTCACATTTGAACCCCACAAAAATGAAATTAATCAATATTACATCAAATTATCTTTGACAATAATAACTAGGGTTTAGATTCAATCAGAGAGTAAAGGTTCAATTTCTTGTAACCATCCCAGAAAGGTTCAAATCACACTATATCTAAGATAAGCGATCAATTGATGAGTTCTTAAACTGCATACGATTTTCATTAAAAAAAAAAAAAAAAGTATTTCATAGATTAGGTCAGATAAATGTCCAAACACACACAAACTTGCAACAACTCCAGTAGCACAAAAAAACCAAAAGAAGGTTTTAGAAAGCAGCATGATTACGATCATGATCGTATGGAGAGAGATAAGAGTAAAATAGAGAGCATAATAATAAGATTTTGATACAGTAGAGGGATAAGGTAGGTGGCTGAAAGAAATCAGCAGTAGAACATGACACGCTTCACATTCTCTTTAAGTGCAGGGAGTGGCCTCACTGCAGCGTTCACGTGAGGGCCACGTGTGTTTCTACCACCCATGTTACCTCCACGAGCCATGCTCCCACTAGCCATCGAACCACTGTCTGATGTCTCTGGCTCCATGTAGAACCTCGCCCTGAACGCTGCAAGATGCGCATAGTACGCAGGCGGCACTACACACACAAACACAAAAATCCACAACCATTTTAACTTCTCTAATAATCACTCACTTAAGATCTCGACAAATGCCATTAAGGAGGGAATGAAGAAAAAAAAAACTCACCAATTGAGACAGATCGTGTGCATCTCGCATACCTTCACACAACACACAAAAATAGTTTCAATGTTAATGGTTTTAATACATCTTATTACTCTTCTTAATTTGATAAGAACAAAAATTTGACAACAAAGAGCAAAAGAATCTTACGTGTAGCATAAGTTATTGGTCAGAGATTGGAGTCCATCTGCACTGAAGTTGTTCTCATCCCAAAGAACGTGGTAATGAGCAGGTCGAGAAGTGCCCTGTCCATAGAACGTTGATTATAAACACACTTGAGAATATCTCTAATCTACACAACAATCTGTTTTTACTCATTTCAATTTTACCTGAATACCAGCATGACTACAGAGATAAAAGTCGAACTCTGTAGGGTGACAGATTTTAGAATCCACGACAGTCCCTATAGACAAGCAATTCAACAATAAGGGTTTCAAACTGATTTACAAGATACACGCAAGAAGGGCTAGAGCTAATACACCGATCTAAAAGCTTTTTTTACCTGGTAATATATTGCCACTTCTATCCACAGTTTGACGATCATTATGGTTCTGAGCAAACAGCCTCGTGTGATGGCGCTTCTGCACCACCACAAATGTCACTGGTGGCTGATAACCTGCTTCCAGCGAAGCACAGGCCTGAAATGATATGGAAATTAAAAAAAATCACAATTAAAGACAATTAGAACACCTAACACAAGTCATTTGTTACAAGTAATTCTTACCTTGCGGATTGCGTCAAGTTCATAGAGCAACACTTGATAGAATTGCCCTTCACTGACTCCATCCCTATGACATTATAGTTACCAAAAATAAAATACAGTATTAGCGAGGAGAAATATACACAAACATATAGTAAGCTATGCATCAAAAGAAAAGATTAACACCTGTAGAATATGATCCTTAGCGGCTTATGCCCAGTTGATCTACGGAAGGCTATCAGCAACTCCCTGTTCCAAAGGAAAACCAAAATGCAAAGATCTGTTACTTACGAGGGAGCTGAAGCTAAAAACAGAAAGGAAGAGTTAATAATAATATCGAGACATACTTTATCATGCCACCAGTCACCACCCCTTTCTGAGGATCCTTCCACTCTTTGAACAGATCCTGAATGAGCTCCTGCCTATGTGCTTGAGCGCAAACCAATCCAGCATATTTGGTTATTTCAGGCCAATCCTGGGATGCAACAACCTGAACCAAGTATAATTGTCAATCAAGGAACCGCATTACACAAGAAATAAAGCAGTTCGCAGAAATTGATTTTGTGAGCGAGAAGAACTTACAGCAGCAATAGAGGGACTTGAATCTTCTCCAGGGTGAGGATGCGTGACATCAGCACCAAATATGATTGTGGGCCGGTCACTGACTAGTGGAATCCTCCTTGATAACGCATCAACAAGGACTGTATTCCTTCCTCCGACCTTGACATTAATCTTCAGAGCCACATTAGCCATATACTGTTTGCTCATCTTAAAGACATGCTTAGTCAGGCAGCACTGAGAAACAATGCCAAGCTCAGTCTCACAGATTCGCTTTAGATCACCTACATGGGATGTTTCAAACGGAAATAAGGATGAAAAAGAGTGTTTATATGAAAATAATCAGACAAAGAGTCCTAGAACATGGCTCATACCATATAATGATCCGTTGTTGTCAGGCAGAATGACAATAAGGAGATCAATCTCTCTTCCTTGCGAGAGCTTGGCTGTGGCATCATGATAACGAGTTTTCAAGACCTTCTCAACTTGTTCAGGGCGAGCACTGACTACTGGGAGAACTGGCTCTGGATTAAATGCCTGTAGGTAAGAAATAATCCAAATTTCAGAGTAGGAAAGGTTAATAAAAAACTGATCACATTGTGCTTCACAGAACTTACCATGCCAGATGTGTGGCACATCTGAGCAAGTTCCTGACAAAAAGTACGTGCAAGATTGTCCTGCACTCCCCTAGAAAAGTTGATGCATATCCAATTATTCACCGTTCCTCCATTGATCATTTTCTGCATCACAGAGTTGTATAAGTCAGACAAACAACATACCGTTTCGTGATTGATTGCAGAAAGAAGTCCAAAAAAATCTAATGTATATCTACTAAGCTATAAAACAAAACGGAAAAAAAACAAATATAACACTTTTCTTGCTACTTGACCTTGAAAGACAGCGCAATTAAATAGGTAGCACAAGCAAACAACATTCAAGTGCATATGAAAACCAGGAGCATAGCAATGCATAGGATTGTTTCCGTCTACTTACCTTATTCATCATGTTCCACTGACCAACTTGTGGCAGACATGTCCCTTCCCTTCCAGAATCATGATATTTGAGCTGCAAAGTAAAACAGTAAATTCATGTTGGTACCGTAATTTGAGTGAAAAAGAAAATTGTAGAACCAAAGAGAAGCAGAACGATATCTATACCCATGGAGGAGGTAGTATACGGGCTTCCACAGAAGCAAGGGTAGCACTTATTTTTATGCCAAACTCCTTCGCATATGGATCTTTGCTATAGTCATTGAGCTGAACAGTCTGGGCAAACAAATATTATCAAACCATGTTAGAAAAAAACAACCGACCAACATGCTAACTAAATCTCAAGTCACAAAATCTATCTACTAAAATCTCCACCGAGCAATAGATAAGAAAGCAGCTAAATTAAGAGAGCATCCCTGAAGATCACAATTTGTCAACCAATGGTAACATCTCAAGGAAAATCACACATGCAACCAAGCAAGGATAAACAGGCTCTAAAGCTATTCATTCCATTATGAGCCTTTAACCACCAGTTTATATGAACGGAAAACAAAATTATCCAAAACAAAGAAGCATACCCGCAAGATATCTTTTTCTCTTTCTTGGGGACGCTGACAGGTCACCTTCAGCAAAGCAGTGATCTGTCTCTCATTCAACCTTTTAGAGTATCTCTGACCCTCGACAATCTTGCAGACCTGTACAACAGCAGCACATTAGCATCAGAGGTATTGGTCAGCCAACAAAACCGATGATAAATTTCAAAATTACCTCCATTGGTAAGTAATTTGGCCTGTTAGAATTTCCAACTTGCAAACATGGTAGTTGAGTGTGCTGGATGCGAAAGCCATATGTTTCGTGGAAGTATTCTACAACGGATTTCTGGGTATTTCTTTCATCCACAGGGAATCTGAGAAGGATAATATACGTACGAAACATTAAACTTCTTCTGCTTCAACATTCACAAAATAAGAATGAGCAAGCTAAAACAGATACGCACGTCAGTTCTCGAGTGGCCACAGAAGTCAAGCCAGAAATGCGGTACTTTCGGCGCATATTTCCCCTATGAGTCACTTCAACCTTAACACCTCTAAGTGCCTTTTTTATCTGTTGACAGAACACGTTTTGAAATCAGTAAACACAGGAAAATGCAGCAATACACTACAGTTGTAGAAGCATAAACACTCATAACAAGTACAAACTGATCATACGATGATAACCAGAAAATGGCAACTGAATCATACCTTCACTCGATCAGCATCGGATAAAGGTCGAGATGCAATATCACGGTTCAGTAACTGGCATACAAATTCAACCACAGGAAGTGGCTCGATGAAAGCTGTCGATGACATATCTACAGAAGAGACAAAATTGCAGTACAAACATTGAGCTGAGACGTAATAGCAGATCCAGCTATGATAATCTATTGAAGGTACTGAAGTAAGCAATTGCACCAATATTGAGTG